CACAAATTAGAGGACCCTAAAACGAAACCAGAGATAGTAAGAGAAAGCAGAAACTCAGCTTATCATGGTGGCTGGTAAGGTGAGATTGGCAATGGGTTTGCAAAAATCACCTGCAAACCCGAAGCACGAAACTCCCCCTAAACCACCATTGCCATCTCCGAGCTCGGGTAACAAGAACAACACTTCCCAGAAAGCCGTCTTCTCACGTTCTTTTGGCGTTTACTTCCCACGATCCTCAGCTCAAGTCCAGCCTCGTCCGCCTGACGTCACCGAACTCCTCCGATTGGTTGAAGAGTTGAGAGAGCGAGAGTCCAGGCTGAAGACAGAGCTTCTCGAGCACAAGCTTTTAAAAGAATCGGTTGCCATTGTTCCTGTGCTGGAAAACGAGATCGTAGCTATAAATGCGGAGCTGGAACGAGCTTCGAAAGAGATTGAGAATTTGAGAAACGAAAACGAGACGTTGAAAACAGAGGTAGAGGAAATGAAGGAAAAGATTGAAGAAGAGAGGAAAGAGAGCGAGAAAAAAGTTAGAGAAATGGAGGAAGAAATAGCGGAGCTAAAGAAAACGGTGTCGTCTTATTCTGATCGTAACAGTAAAGCGGAGATTACGTCGGAAAGCGACGATTTACTTTCTTCTTCGCAGAGATATCAGGGGTTAGTGGAAGTTAGCGTGAAGTCAAATTTGATTAAGAATTTGAAGAGAAATAATAGTAAATGTACGGACGCCGTTGTTGTTAGTACTTTGAATAATGAGAAAGTCGAGAGCTTGGAGTTTAAAAGAGAGGAACTCGAGACTGAGAGACCGAGACACTCGAGGTGTAACTCGGAGGAACTCGGTGAGTCGACTCTTGTTAATATCAGATCTCGTGTTCCTAGGGTCCCAAAACCACCGCCGAGACCTTCATCATCATCACCATCATCATCGACGTCATCTAATAGCTCCACTGATTCTACAGAGAAGCAAATTCCTCCTCCACCACCGCCGCCGCCACCTCCGGCAACAGCAGCAGTGAAGCAAGTTGCACCTCCTCCTCCGCCACCACCTCCGATAAAAGCTACTGCGCCGCCACCTCCTCCTCCGCCTCCGAAGGGGATGAGGGCGATTGCGGCGAAAGTGAGGAGAGTTCCAGAGGTCGTAGAGTTTTATCACTCGCTAATGCGGAGGGATTCGAAAAGAGAGGCAGGTGGCTGTAGCGTGCCGGAGGTTTTACCGGCAACCGCTAACGCGAGGGATATGATTGGAGAGATTGAGAATCGGTCAACTCATTTGCTCGCGGTGAGTTTCGGTTTCCGGTTATAATTATTTACGATAATGCCACTGTGGACAGTGTGGTTTTTGTGTCAGTGACAAGTGACTGGTCCTCCGTGAATTTATTGCCTTGTTATATTTGATTTATTTCTTGCTAGATAAGACAGCATTTAGATTCGATGAAGGAACTTTAGAAAAGTATATAGAAATATTTAAAAATAAAAAAAATGGAGAGTGTAATTTTAATAAATATAAGTGGCAAATTTCACAGAATAATTTTTGGAATTTAAATTTCAGGCCCAACTAGTTTGAATTTCAAATAATATTGTACAAATTTGGCACCTTTGTCCTTAGCTCCGAGTCCAGTAAGAACCGGAATCTACTAAGTAACTAATAACTGCAAGATTATTGTAACTTCAGTTTGATTAATGTTAATTGTTTAAGCTTTGTTATGTACTTATGTTGGGTTTCTGGAAGTTAATGTGGTCTTTTGTGATTGATCCAGATAAAGACAGATGTAGAAACACAAGGAGACTTCATAAGATTCTTGATCAATGAAGTGGAGAATGCTGCATTTACAGATATAGAGGATGTTGTGCCTTTTGTTAAATGGCTAGATGATGAGCTCTCTTACTTGGTACATTTCTTTTCTTTGTTTTCCATTTGGTCCTCACCCGTTTTTTTTTTTCCGAGGATTTTTTTTTCGATGATTAATTTTTTTGTTCTTCATTTAGGTGGATGAAAGAGCAGTGTTGAAACATTTCGATTGGCCAGAGCAGAAGGCGGATGCATTGCGCGAGGCGGCATTTGGGTATTGTGATCTCAAGAAACTTGAATCCGAGGCTTCATTGTTTCGTGATGATGCCCGGCAACCCTGTGGTCCTGCTCTCAAAAAGATGCAAGCTCTACTTGAAAAGTATATAGTCCTTGTTTTATCTGTAAACTCTTTCTTTATTACTTGCTTCTTATTGGTTTGCTCTGATTCTGCTATTAATATGATAACGGCAGGCTGGAGCATGGTGTTTACAATCTCTCACGAATGAGAGAATCTGCTACAAAGAGATACAAAGGATTTCAAATTCCTACGGATTGGATGCTTGAAACTGGAATTGTAAGCCAGGTAATCTAATTTATTCAACCAACTTGTTTTATACAAAAAATTTACACATAATTTATTAGTAAAGAATGTAAATTTGGTAAGACTATGATCTTTTGCTTATTTCTTAATTGCCATGATAGAAAGCACCCATCGTTCTTAAAATTCCATTAGTCAATTTGGTGATAGATTTAGGTGGTCTATTTAGTTAATCTTGCTTTCAGATCTTGGAAGGGCAAATATGTATTGATTTGATACTGTTTTCTATGTTTATTATTATATTCTAACTAGTGTTTGCTAGGCGACAAAAGGAACGTTAGATTTTACTCCTCATTTTCCACACGCATGCGTGCTTGCCTACCTGTGAACTCCCAGATCTCTAAACATATTTGCTTGTTTGCTTCCACGTTTTACTTGGGATTCATGGGAAAGGAAGAGAATCGGAATCTCAATCTAGACCAATTATGCACAGCATATTGTAGTAGTGACTAATGTTGGTGTTGACAATGCTTTCTTTGCATAGTGTCTCGAGTAGACACGAAACTTCTATGAACTCATTGAGATCTTAATCTAAAAGCCATTGCTACTATAAAATTCATCCTCTTTATTAGTCTGCTTTCACAAACAAGTTGTTATGTAGTGGCAGTAATGCAAGTTAATGAGATGCGTGTTTTAACAGACTCGCTAGTCCCTGCATTCCATTTATTGCAGCCTTTGGTGTTTGTTAACTCATTAATAATGCAAATAAATGATGGCAGATCAAGCTTGCATCAGTGAAATTAGCAATGAAGTACATGAGAAGAGTATCTGCGGAGCTCGAAGCAGTTGGTGGTGGGCCTGAAGAAGAGGAGCTGATTGTTCAAGGCGTTAGATTTGCATTCCGTGTGCACCAGGTTAACATTCTCATTAATTCCTATTAAGTTTGCTTTTGTTGGCATTGAGAAGGGCAACACTCTCTCAACACCTTTTGTTTATTGACAGTTTGCTGGAGGGTTTGATGTTGAAACGATGAGGGCTTTCCAAGAGCTGAGAGACAAAGCCAGATCGTGCCATGTACAATGCCAAAGCCAACAACAACCAAAATTTATTTGCAGGTCTACTACTTGCTAATCTCTGTAGCAAACTCAGCTCCAGAATCCGCTACCAGTTTTTTTGTTGTAAAGATAAAAGGACAATCATGTTTGTGAATACAATGCCAGCTGCTATTTATCCACACATTCAATTTATTCCAGTGCATAACTAATGTGAAATGGAACTACTACCATTAAAATTTTCTTCTGTCCCTCGTCTCACTCTACAGCAAACCGGTAATGCCAGCTCTTACTTTGAAACCCCATTGAAACTGAAATTTCCGCTTCCCATAAACTGGCTAGTGCTTGTGCCTTGAGTCAGCCGGTATTGTAAATAGTTCATGGCTTCTCGAGTCATACTTCTCTCAATGAACTATATTTATAGTGCTTTTGGATGGTACTGCTTCAACCAAAAAAGATCTTTATGACTAAGACAACCGAAACATGACAAGCAACCAAATAACTATAAAATCTTTATAAAGTGTATAGGGTAGTTTTGTTTCTAAGCGTAGCTTGGTTGCCTAGAGATTTTGTAATCAGAGTTTGACAAGATTCGTCAGAATGTGCCGATGTTAACGCAAAGAGGGGACCTATGACTGTGCCAGCGACATTGCTGTTGGTGGAAACTTGAAAAGGTTTGGTGCACCACCAACCATTTTAACTTTGAGCTCAACACGGCGTTTTAGCATGTGAAAGTGATAATCATTCAGGGGGGAATCTTAAATTGCGTAAAACCTAAAGGTATAATTGAAAGTTAAAGAGCAATCTAAACATGAATTCCCTTTTAATATTAAGACTGTCTAGTTATTGGAGACGGGCCCCTCTCCAGTAAATGGTCATTATTTAGAGTTAGTTGGGGATCATATTAATGAATAATGATTCTTCTTTAATATGAATTCTACCAGCAATCTCCCTGGCCCCTAAGTTGTCCCGCCTGGTTAGCTTTAAAAAACCAAACGAAAAAGAACACTGACTAACCAACAAATGCATAAAGGACATGCATGCTTTATGTTGGCGTTTTACTGCTGTCCTCCATAATTCCTGGATTTTGATATTTGGGATTTGGCCCCCAAGCCTGGAGAATGCTTTGATGGCTGCCTGTTGTAAAATTCTCTAGGTAGCTGAGCTGGGTATTTGATGAGGTACAGGGGCTTTTGGATTTGAGTATTTGACAGTAATACAGGCTTTGGGCTTGATTTTGAGTGTACAGCTAAATCCTGATGAGAAGTTAATGAGCCTGGAAATTTCTTTCTTTGATTAAGCTGTTCATCTACATATCCAGTTTTGGGTAAATGGTTCTGTCTGGTAAAATGTGTATCATTTGTAAAATTTTTTAAAAAGATGAAATTTTACTGTTTAACTCACCTAGCAAACAGTAACTCAAATTAGGACTTTGATTAAATGAGATCAAACAATTCAAAACAAACTTACTTTGAATTAAACTCAATTTCTATTACTCCATAACAGGGTTCAAGTTATGATTTCCATTTTTTTCATTGATTTTCTTATTAATAGTTTCATGCCAATTATTGATTTTCCAACTAATTAAAATAACTTTATTAACCCCAATTTTAACCTTTAAAAAACACACACACAATGTCAAAAAAATAACTTTGATAAATAAGAGAAGTAAATATGAATGGGAAGTTTTTGATGAATTTACCCGAATCTCCAAGTTCTGTTGAGTTGGGGAAGAGGAGATGAGCATCTGCTTGGTTTCAAAGTTGCCATCTTTTACTTCCACTGGATCTGTCTCCTTCGCTCCCAAAACATACCCTTCACTTTCATCAAAGTCACTACTTTTCCCTATCATCCAGCCTCCTACCCGTCCTAGATTTCAACGCCCAATCAGAGCTACAGCAGCCATGGCAGCAGAGCAAAGTGGAGGCACAAGCACTGCCAGCAACACCTCAAACCCAGCCATGAAACTTCTGTTTGTGGAGATGGGTGTTGGTTACGATCAACATGGGTTCGTCTTCTTTGCTCTTCAGGGTTCGCTTTATGTAATAAAGAAAAAAACCTTTTTTGGTTTTGCCTGTTTGGTTTAATCTGATGAAAACAGATTCATTTCTGTTAATTTTCTGAATTGTTGTATGGAAACAGGCAAGATATTACATCAGCAGCAACGAGGGCTTGCAGGGATGCAATTTCTTCTAATTCAATCCCTGCATTCAGGAGAGGTATGTAATTGCTGTCTATGCATTTGCAGTTCAGTCTTGGTGCAGTAAGATTAGAAAGATTCTGGATTTGTGTTGTTTTCTTCAGTGTTCTTTAAACTCATGAGACCAACAAGGGCCAAAAAATTTTGACTTCTTAAAGTCAGCTTATTGATAAAGATCTTCTCCGTGTTTGTGACTTGAATGATATGAATAGTTTGGGCATATTGCTCTCTTATGAATGTTGTTTCATTGGATATAATGATATAAAACTCGTGCAGGATCCATACCTGGGGTCTCTTTTGAGCAAATGAAACTACTGATCAAGTTAGGAGTTCCTCATTCTCTCCAGCAGTCATTGGATATAGAGAGGGTGAAGTCTGTTTTTCCTTAGTGAGTATCCACTACTCGAAGTTGGCGCCTCTATTTTTGGAACCGTGATCTTTTTTTGTTTAAACTAAGAAAGAATCGAAGAAAGGGGTACAAAGATCTTTGTAACCTAACAGTTGGCCTTCAGAAATTCCCCTGTTCTGGTTTAAGCATATATTTTTGTTAACCTAAAGTGGATGCTAACTGGTTTAATAGCATTTAACATTTAGAGCATCTGTAATTTTTAATGTATAAATCAATCTATTGCAATCTATTATGACCAAATTGTGACCAATATAATGCAAGCATGAAGTTAAGTAATCAACAGCCCTTCTTCCCATGAGCTCAGTGACCAAATTGTATGACTTACTCCATCAGAAATTTAACCTGTATCCAAACCCTTTCTCATCTTGTAACAACTACTATTATTTAACTATGCCTTTCTTCCATTGATCTTCTTCCTCTATCACAAGCTTGAAATTACCCATCAGTTCTCAATAAGCATTTATTCTGTTTGTCCAGCTTAATGCTCTTCTTCTATTTCAGTAAAGTGTCTTATTATTTGTTGCATCACTCTGCCTCGTTGAGTTTGAAAGTTAATATTTGGCAAATGATGGGAAACCAAATGAGAGTGCGCACATGAAACGAATTAATTACAAGCTCCTTGCTAGTGCTTCTGCTAAATATATCTGTCCCATTACTTGTTGATATAGAAACCTTGCATGTGCCTATGTGTGTGTATTAATATTTATAAAACTCTTATCTGTCTCTTGTTTGTTTGTTTTCATTTTTCCCATTGTTTACAGTGGAAAGATTTTGGACGTTGAAGTTGTGGACGGAGGACTAATATGCTCAAGTGGTGTGCTTGTAGAAGAAATGGGAGATAAGAATGATGACTGTTACATAGTCAATGCTGCAGTTTATATTGGCTACTAGTTGTATCCCCATTGCCTTCTTGAAAGTTTCTTTTAAGGTTAGTTTTCAGTCTTCACTTCTTATTACCCACTTACGATGGAAAATCTGCTGTTATTAATCCATAGCTGATGAACTGTACTTTACATAAGGTAGATTTTTTTTTTTGAAAGTTTTTACATAATGTAGATTTAACCGATCCAATTTGTTTGTCAAGGGCTTTGTTAAAGTAATATGCTATAGTTGTCTTGCCTATCTGTTATTCATCAAAAGCTTTAATTTTAATTATTGTTCGTTGCATCATCTTGTAATGTGGCTACTTATGGTCATTCTAGAGATGAATTTCTCATCCATTCATATCAAAGTAAATCTCCTGCATTTTATTAAATTAGATTTGGACCTCAGATGAGTTGATTTCAATGGCCTTGATTAGTATATGTTGCAGGAGTCCTCCCTGAGTCCTGCCAACATGTGGGCTTCAGCCTTCGGGCACCTATGGTGGATATGGAAGGTGGGATACTTTTGGCAGATATTATTTGTATAACTGCTGTCTTTGTATCTAGCTGCCTGATCCGGTATGACGTGTTACTTTAACATTGGTGATTTTTCAAGCACTCTAATTTTGCCAGAAAAACAAGTGGACTTCTTTTTGTACAAAGTGTTTCATTCAGACAATGATAATTTACTGCTCAACATAATTTTCTCGAGTCTTTATCCTCTTTTCCCACCTAAAAGAGATGAAATTGCCAGAGATTATTGTTTTTCCAATTAATATGGGGGCAGAACACAAATAATTCAACTGCTTTTAATTGTGAGCCTGTTGTTCATAGGTAATAGAGACATAGGTAATGCAGATAAGGAGACAGAGCATGGTGGAAAGCTAACTTTATTTTTCCAAAACTTGACAGAAATTTGATGTGCTTGTCCAACTGTCAAGATTTTTCAAAGATTTAAATCTGTCATAGGTTTTTTCCAGTTCAAAGTAATTATTTTTGTTTTAAAAAATCAATCACTTTACAATTGATATTTGCGCCCCTCCCCCCTTCTTATCACTTACTGATCTTTGCTCCTTCATTACCTCCTACCCGGAGTGAATGAGAAACTTTCTGCACCATCTTGAGTGCACAATTGCGTGAAGAAGAAAATTAAAGTAAATTCTTTGTTGCCCAATGTGGACCTTCACATTACTAGAGCTGCATAGAGAAGCTGGTTCCAGGTATCAGGCAAGCCAGGAAGACACCAATGACTACAGTCATTGCCTGAATGCTCACCACTGTAGGTCGAGGGATGAGCATCCTTTCTCAGTTGCGAGAGTGTTGTAATGTCAAGCAAATAAACTGGTTTTTTCATCGATACCAAAATTTTGTTCAAAATAGCAGCAGCTGGAGGAGCGCCTGCCGGGTACGAAGAGCCAGAAAGTGGCTCTAGTTCTCCATAACAGTTCTTTTTTGGTTGGTTCCACTCTCTGCCCCTGATGTAATTGAACAGAATCAATATTTATGATTAGTTGTAGGGCAATAGGCGGTTGAGAGTAGCTGGTATCTTAATTAGTTTTGAGCATTCTTTGGAGGATTCAAAGGTTCTTTTAAACTCACTCGTAGTGGGTGGGAGAAATGCCCTGGAAGAAAACCTTGGTCTTGGTAGGATCAACGTTGCTATCAACCCAGTTAGCCCAAGTCGTCAGCCCTTTGTTGAACGCAACATAACGGTCCATATCTTTGTATAATTCAGACCCATCTCTAATATAATCCCATCTACATTAAGCAAAATGATAATCAGGTCGGGTTCCCATCATTATATGAAGAGAAATGAACGAAAAAGGAAGAGAAAAACAAATGTCCTACGCTTGAGATTTTCCTTTATGTGTCCACCAGTGCCAGCTGTTGAAGACCAGCATGTCCATCCCTTTCCATGCATTGCCACCATTGATGGAGCCTAGATTGAGCACTGCACCAACGTTTTCTCGAACTATATCCACCAAGTATGGTGTACGATACAAATAAAGAGTCACTGCATAATCCTGCACAGTACGAATTATTTTTAAATCATCCAAGGAAAATGAAACATATCGATACAAAAGCTATTCACTAACACTAGTTTTCCGGCAAATCTCAACTTGAAAGAATATATTAATTTCGCTCATAACATAATTGCTAAATGTCAGTTTATTACATTAGCTTCTTCAATTTTTTTTCTTTTTCATTGGACATGGAATAATTAATTGGTGCGGCTGCTTTCCTTTCCCACAAGTATAGCTGACAAGCAATGTGCTACTAATGGGATTAAATAATTACAGAAAACAATACTTCTAACAAAACAAGGTTGGCAGGTCGCTTAAAACAGCTGTCAGTGGTGAGCAGTGATGGATGAGGATGAGTCCTCCTTTGTTTTAAAAAACTTCTAAAACTAATCATGCAACTAAAGTAAATGTCTTTGAACCCTCATTTTCTCATCGAGAAAGCCAAAAGTTTGGGTTTTTCTTTTTCTATATTTTCTACTACAATTATTTGGACTGACAACTGACTTTCAAATGGAAAAAAGTCCATTTTGTCTTGAAGAGATGATTAATAATATGGAATATAATAAAACCCAAAAGAGGAGAGATCATTTTCCCTGTTGTTCTTGACCCTATCTCCTAAGACAAGCAAACAAATAAACAAAGAAATGGATGGTAAGCTTGCCTGGACCACGAACAGAAACACTCTGTCTAAGCTAGAGAAATACCAAAAAATTAATGGGTTTATCATTTTGCTTTTATTCTTTCAAAGAAAGTAGTATGCCTCTCGTAGAATCCTAAACATATAAACATCATGAAAAGAAAATGAAAGACAAAATTACAGTATAGTTCAGTCATAAGACCTATATGTGAAATTTAATTATCAGAAGGAGATGATAGGGACACAGATTAGTAACAATATTCTAAATCACATGGTTTTTTTTTTTTTAAAATCTAGGAAAGTCAATTGCCTAAGAATTGCTTTGGCCAATACCCCACAAATTACTCCAAGCAACATATCATGATTAATTCCAAGGCAAATAATTACCACACCATTAATATCATAACAAAATCTTATGCACGACTTCTGCGAAATAAAACCCCCAAAAATAAGCTCGCACGAAAAATGTCATAACCTTTATCTGTTTCAGGCCACTAATTCGCCAATCCTGGTAGACCGGTTATATTCTGACACACAGAGAGTAAAAAAATAATTCCTACTGTTGGGAGGAGAAACAGAGAGAAGCATGCTAAAAAGAAGGAAATCAAATCGTGGAAGCAGGAGGAGGAGGGTTGGAACTAGACTCTCTGGAAAGGTTTAACAATAGAGAATAATAGAAAGAATAGAATAATGGAAAGCGGACAAACATTCAATCCAGTGCAGTGAGTAAAAATTGAGTCGATTTTTGAAAACCAAAAAGGCAAAAACAAGTACTCAGTACTCACCTCAAAGATAACAAAAGACAATGGGTCCTTCCTCACATATGTGGTCTTGGAGTTGGGTACCGACGCATGAATCATACATGCCAGAGATTCCCACATGTTCAAACTCAGTGAGTCACCCACAAACATTATTTTCTTTCCCCTCCATTTTGCCAGAAAACTCGCCCCATCAAATCTACACCAAAGAAAACAAAAGACCAGTCTTTCACAGTGAAAGAGCTTGCCATGAAGTTGATAGTCAAAGAAAATAAAGAGTGAAAAAAAGGGTACCTTGGCAAGTCACAGGCGTCAGGTTTCCAGGAGTACTTCAGATACTGCTTGTCTGGCCTGCCATACTTAAGGCAGTCGAATTCAGGATCTACGAAGGGACATCCTGAAGAGTCATAGAATGGATAGGAAGGATCAAAGACCCATTTCCCTTGAAACAAATTGCATCCACTCTCTTGCTTTCTACCTCTAAATCTAGTCACATTGTAGTAATGTTGCCCTGCACTTGCTTCTTGCAAGAACACAAGCCAAACTAAGAGAAACAAACACAACAGGCTTTTGCACCTGAAACCCATCTGGGATTTTGTGTCCCTGATAAATTGCTCAAAGCTGAAACAAGCTCTGATATGAAAAAAAGTTTGTCTGTAGACCAGGCGCTTATATACAAGTGTGAGAGTGAGGGACAGAGAGAGAGAAGGAGAAAGGAAAGCCAGGGGAAGGGCTGCTTGGTGGGTTCACATGGAATAAGCTAGAGGACACCGATTTTTATTTTTTGACATAACTTGGGGGAGATCTTGGAGGGATTCATCATTGTATAATGTGTAGCGTATCGTGGGGGTTGAATTTTTAGCTTTGTTTTCATGGGGTAATCAAAATATTAATTATTTTATAGCATAAACTTCTTCTATTCTTTTACATTCCATTGGCCTGCATGTCACGGGGCATATGCTAATAGTGTACTACTATCAAAACCCACATGGTTTAACCCTTGTCTTGACTTTCTTGAGTAAAGAAATTAGTTGTATATATAATTTACATGCAAAACAAATTATAATACAAAAATAATTGATGTAACCCGTGATGGATATCAATGATATTCTTTTTTTATATTTTTCAGTTGCTTACAAAGCAAATGTCTACCTAAAGTAAGCATTATATATGTAGGTTGGTAAGTTAGATTTGTTTTTTGATTCTTGTATTTCAGATCTACAAGTGTATTTTGCTTTCACGAGAAGAAGAGCTAAAAAGGAGAAACAAAGGCTACATGCTTGACTGTTAGCTTGAGTTTTACACTTTTCAATAGATGGATCTCATATTTTATCTCTATAAAATTTAACTGGTAAAATCAGCTCTATTTTTCATATGAATTGATGACATTTATCTTTCTCAATATTAACATGATCAAGCCAAACGAAAAGATTTATATAAATGTAAATGGTGATGAATCTTTTATGAGTGGACTGTGAGTCTATGAGTAAAGATTAGTACCATTATTGTTAAGATAAGTATACAAATGATTTAATTAGAGTTATAATACACTATTGTTAATTATCTAATTAATAACATTATAATACAACTCTTAAATAGATAATAGTCTAATTCAACTCTAGCTAATTAATAATATTGTAGTATAACTCTAACTAGATAATAGTAGTGTATTATAACTCTAATTAAATAAGTTGTATAATTATCTTAACAATTATGAAACATCGGCTGAACCTACTTTTAATTAAAAGATAAAGTTTCCGGGCAACAAAATCGTAGGAAAGTGAAGTTATAACAAATTGGAGATAATGGATCAGGCACCATATATCATGGACAAGTGCAACTAATCATAAACTTGCAAGCAATCGTTTTGCTTTATCTATAACGAATCTGTGGAAGAGGCTGACACTTATTTGATTAATTTGGCACAGATAAGGTAATCACGTTAACAAAAAACCTTTTCCCTTTCATAGTCGGGGACCGTATGGCGAACTCCAACAAGGAAACATCAAGAAGGCTATTGTGTGCTGTATTGAAAACAAAGCTATAACCATGAGAAGACAAGAATGGAGGGGGGCATGATGAGATCAGGGGACTTCCTATAGAATAAACCCAGATTCAGAATGGATTCCAAAGCCAAAACAAATGAATGTTAAATCGAGTAAATATTTATCCAGGGGCACATGGAACTCCAAAAACCAACCAGGGAGTGCAAGTTGTGGAACTTTAATTAAAAGTCCAACAACTTGTACAGGAAAAAAGGAAAAATTTGAAACAG